TGGCACGCCGTCCAGGGATGCCAACGTTTCGAAGAAACACAATTTATTTATTTTCAGGTCTCAAAATGGCGCCAAAACCAAGAAGAAATACGCAGCCATCATCATCATCATCGTCGTCATCGCCTTGAGAATCTCAAATCTCGCACTTCACTCTTCTTATTAAAACACGTTCAGGAACAAACCAATTTCCGAAAAATCTCCTTAACTCCACTATTAAACATTCACTGCTCACTGAACGACCACATTTTATGTCCCTCCTCCTGCTTATCTCTGATAACATGTTTGCACACGACAAGATAACCTAAGCAGCCTGACTGCACCTTTGATCATTTCACGTAAACAGCCCGAACTATCTCTCCTCAGGTCAGACGCGGCTTTGGTGGAAGACGTTCTGTGGGGTTAGTTCAAACTCTGGCGCAAATTCTTTCTAAAATCACGAACAGAATAAAGCAGACTGAAAACTTCATTCACTATCTTCATCGAGAACTGAATATCGCGTGTCTCAAGAACTCTACGGGACACGGATCCAGATAATTCTCGTTGGGAAGAAGTTGAATGTAACAGAAGGCAAGTGATTTGTTTGCTAACAGAAATTACAAAGAAATAAATAAGCAGTGCCGAAAGTCGACGTTGCGAATGTGAGTTGACAAAGAAAAACACTCAACTTGTAGGTTTTTCGGTGTTTTTCAGTGCCACTGAACGACGCGTACACTTCAACAGTTCAAGAAGCAAGAAACAAGTGAAAAACACTGAACAATCAATCACGTGTCTGCTTGAATTTCCGAACTTATGGGCGCTGATTCGAGCTCGCTTTAATTAACTGTACGTCGCCATTATTATTTATAGTTATTTGTGCTTAAAATATAAATATACTTTAGAATATTAGAGGCAGGATCAGGATTTATTATAAACAGATACAAAACCTTTGCCAGTTAAATTATAACAGTGATAATTCTCGAAAAACGCGAAGTAAGAATTAATTTCGGAGTCTTTGACACAATCTGTGATTTCATATTTAATTAAACAGATAATTCCTATAGGTTATTCAGAACAAACCAAAACAACGGAGTTCAGACAGAACTTCAAAAACACTCAACAAATTAATTTTTGCATCCAAGCGTCGGCCAGTGCAAAAGTTTCTTCAGTGCAACACTAAATGGACCTCAATTAATGTTGTTTGTTATCCTATAATTTCTCAAAAACCAAAGTTTGACATAGAATAACCAATTACAAAGAATTGTTAACATAAAAGTCTCAGTTCTCCGTTCACAAAAATGATGCGACTGTGTTTTGTCACATTTATGTTCTTGGTCCATCAAATAACTGCAGAAGATGGATGCGCATCTGTCTGTACATGCTCAGACAATGTTGCCAACTGCAGCTACGTTGAGATTGGGTCAATACCCCACAGAGACGTTTTCAACAATAATCTCAAAATGCTGGACCTGACTGGAAACTTTATAGAACATCTGACAGATAACGCCCTTGTAGATTATGAGGGCCTTCAAAATCTAAGCTTCCGAAACAATTATATACGCGATGTAAATCGTCTGGCGTTTGCTGGATTGTATTCGAGTCTCGTGCACTTGGACCTCACGGGAAACAAGATACAAACAATCTTCGACGACACCTTCAAACGCATCCCGGAACTGAAAACACTGCTCCTATCCAACAACAGTGTTGCAACCCTTGAAAGAAACTCATTCGGTGATCCAGAGCATTTGCAGTATCTCGACCTCTCACTTAATTACCTCTCAATCATTTTAGACGGAACATTTGATAGGAATCAGGAACTACAGTTCTTGTCTTTAAGACACAACGAAATTCAAAGCGTCGGAGAGCCAACGTTTAAAATGCTACATAATTTGAGGCATCTCGACCTGTCACACAACAAAATCAGTTCCGTGCAACCAGAAGCCTTCCGTTCACTCAGTCAGTTGGAATGGTTCAGTTTATCACACAACAGAATAAAAGAATTCTACGACAATGCTTTCGAAAGCCTGGACTACAGTTCTTGTCTTTAAGACACAACGAAATTCAAAGCGTCGGAGAGCCAACGTTTAAAATGCTACATAATTTGAGGCATCTCGACCTGTCACACAACAAAATCAGTTCCGTGCAACCAGAAGCCTTCCGTTCACTCAGTCAGTTGGAATGGTTCAGTTTATCACACAACAGAATAAAAGAATTCTACGACAATGCTTTCGAAAGCCTGGGGAGGGTCAAATATTTTGATCTGTCTCAAAATGAGATAAGGGTAATCAACCCATTGTGTTTTGCAAACTGCAGCAGTCTTGAAACTCTGTCAATTGCACATAATAACATAGGGAGAATTCGTGAACAAGGTCTGTACGGACTGTTCAGTCTGAGGCATTTCGATCTATCGCACAACAGACTCGCTCACCTCAGTCCAGACGTCTTTATAAGCGGCGATCTTCCGCCAGCGAACAATCACGGCGGTACAGTCTGCTCAGAATATAATTCACTCAGCTACAGTCTGATCGTCTTGAAACTGGACAACAACGGAATAAGTTCTCTGGACAAATGTGTGTTTGTACCGACACGCGGTCTTCAAGAGATCGGCCTGGGAGCAAACAATTTAAGTGCGCTGGACCACAGAACTTTCCTTCCGTTAAGAGATCTCACCAACCATAATTTGAGGCATCTCGACCTGTCACACAACAAAATCAGTTCCGTGCAACCAGAAGCCTTCCGTTCACTCAGTCAGTTGGAATGGTTCAGTTTATCACACAACAGAATAAAAGAATTCTACGACAATGCTTTCGAAAGCCTGGGGAGGGTCAAATATTTTGATCTGTCTCAAAATGAGATAAGGGTAATCAACCCATTGTGTTTTGCAAACTGCAGCAGTCTTGAAACTCTGTCAATTGCACATAATAACATAGGGAGAATTCGTGAACAAGGTCTGTACGGACTGTTCAGTCTGAGGCATTTCGATCTATCGCACAACAGACTCGCTCACCTCAGTCCAGACGTCTTTATAAGCGGCGATCTTCCGCCAGCGAACAATCACGGCGGTACAGTCTGCTCAGAATATAATTCACTCAGCTACAGTCTGATCGTCTTGAAACTGGACAACAACGGAATAAGTTCTCTGGACAAATGTGTGTTTGTACCGACACGCGGTCTTCAAGAGATCGGCCTGGGAGCAAACAATTTAAGTGCGCTGGACCACAGAACTTTCCTTCCGTTAAGAGATCTCACCAACCTGGACTTAAGCTTCAACAGACTCAGCGAAGTGGACGATCTGGCAGCAGAATGGATGCTGCGGTCAGCAACTGCTGTTAATCTCACAGGTACGTGTCATTAAAATGTCGCCAACTGGGGGACCGTACATAAAAGATTTCTACGACAATGCTTTCGAAAGCCTGGGGAGGGTCAAATATTTTGATCTGTCTCAAAATGAGATAAGGGTAATCAACCCATTGTTATTTGCAAACTGCAGCAGTCTTAAAACTCTGTCAATTGCACATAACCACATAGTGAGAATTCGTGAACACGCTCTGTACGGACTGTTCAGTCTGACGCATTTCGATCTATCGAACAACAGACTCGCTCACCTCAGTCCAGACGTCTTTATAAGCGGCGATCTTCCACCAGCGAACAACCACGGCGGTACAGTCTGCTCAGAATATAATTCACTCAACTACAGTCTGATCGTCTTGAAACTGGACAACAACGAAATAAGTTCTCTGGACAAATGTGTGTTTGTACCGACACGCGGTCTTCAAGAGATCGGCCTGGGAGCAAACAATTTAAGTGCGCTGGACCACAGAACTTTCCTTCCGTTACGAGATCTCACCAACCTGGACTTAAGCTTCAACAGACTCAGCGAAGTGGACGATCTGGCAGCAGAATGGATGCTGCGGTCATCAATTGCTCTTAATCTCGCAGGTACGTGCCATTAAAATGTCGCCAACTGGGGAACCGGGGCCCACAACGGCTTGTACGGAGAATTAACGGTATAACGACTATTTTATCAGAGTACGTTACCTGGTAACACATTAGTTCGTGACTCCGCCACATGGAGGCCTTCTTCATCAGTAGCTCAGGTAAAAGAGTCGGTTGATACGTACAATTAATCGGAAAACATGTCAAAGGAAGTGGTAGTGGCCTGACATCAGACACAATTTCGACATTTGTCTGGAGGTCCTGAGGAAAATCAAAAGAATTCTGAGTCAGGACAGCCGGTCCGTGGTCTGGAATTTTTTTTTACTATTAATGACAATGACCGCTGGTAATAAAAACAGAAATTATAGCAATAAAATGTGTCAGCGTAATCACTGACAACTAATCACCTGAATACGGTAGAACAGTCAGCTCCCGAAACGTCGTGTATATCAAATATAACTCAGGCAGTGTTCATAGACCAACACAGAGTTCTACGATGAACCAAATATTGTCACAACCTTCAAAGAAATGCAGAGATGAAATTATCTTACCGATAAATTTATGCCATATCCATCCGTGATTTTCCTTTTTTTATATTTTGCAGGAAATCCTTGGGACTGCACTTGTGGCGTGCTCTACAGTGCTTATAAAGTACTACGCGCCGACAAAGAGAGAAATATCACTCTAGTCTGCGAACGCCCTGAAGAAGGCAGAGGAGAACCGTGGAATGTCCTAGAAGAAATATGCGAACGAACAACAACGGAGGACATCGCACGAACCTCAAATTTTTCTGCGACATACGAAGTAACGGGAACCGAAATTTTAACCACGGCCGCCATTTTGGTAATTAAGGGCGGGTTTAATCATAATTCTTCCTCAAAAGTATCGTCCATTAGGCCTTCTGCAATATTCGTCATATGCTTTGCCGTAGCAGTGTTTGTTGTCATAATAGCCGCGCTCATAATCACAAGAAAAATTAAGAAACAAAACCTGAATCACTTGTGGTGGGAGGACCAGGTCAAGAGGAGACAGCTCTTGTCGGAATGATCCTGAGTGGTCACAAAACCAAGTGGTAACTATACGTGCCAATTCCATTAACACTCGATGATCCTGTGTTTTGCTGACACCCTGTTGTGTGTTTCGTATGATTTTTGTTATAAACAGCGATTATTTTCTTAAACAGCGTTAACCAGTTGATCTTTGTAACGGTGAAGGGGTGTGTTTTCTTTGCGGTACGGACTCGATTCTTAAATTTTATATTGGTGCTTCGAAGGGCTAATGCCAAAGACCATTGCGTTCATAAACTCTATGTGAATTTCAAAGAAATCAGATGGAATGGTCGTTGTCTATTTCAATATATTATATTTGAATGGAATGACTGAGGAAGACTACGAAATACTTCAGTAATGACGGCTCGTGAATAACGTACCACTGTGGTAGCCTGCGAACGTCAGCAGCGAGGAAATACTGTCAAGTAAGGATCTGGAAGGACATTACGGCACACGACAGGGAGACATTTTTTGAAGTAAAAACTTTCCAGACGGGTTTATTTTCTAGGGGTGAGTCCGTGCGAAGAACGGTACAGCGATTTTCTAAAATCTGCGTAGACTGCTCATTCATGAGTCAGTGAATTTGAATTTCTGTACACACGGAAAAAACTGGTTTCACCACGACGAGATCAGAGATTTCTAACGGCGTCTAATGGCGACCTCACGTATTTCCACCGCGGTGCGTCTCCGTGTGACATTTTCTTATATCTTAAATATATAATTGATTTACTACGAATTAGTAGTGTTTTGACAGCAGGCCAAGACTCGAGCGCTCTCTCCACACTGAGTGTCCTTCAAACTTTCACCTTTCTAGCAAGACTAATTATATACACAGGTCCTTGAACACGCGCCCTCGCTCAGTATGCACCTCTGAAACGTCGGTAAACTTGTACAACGGAGCTACAACCGTGAAGTCATCTGCAATGTTTTATCTGAAAATATATCAACT